TTTTTTTTAGAAAAACTCGCCTGATCACTCGAGATGAATTAAAAATCGATTGGCGTCTGCTTTATCATTGGGCTACACTTATTTTTGATAATCATGATCAAAACAATGCATTGGTCACATTGCCTAAGTTCGTAGCCGAATTGTCATAATCGCGAGCGATTAGAATTTGTTATCCATATTGGGTTTCTACGCTTTTTCAGAGACATCAAGGATTCCTACTTTTTCTGTGTATTCTACTGTTCTCCATACTTTTCGGCAACAGCAACACAAGAGATCCTCGAGGAATTTCGTCCACATTTGTGTCCAACTGATTGGACTTTTGCCAATACTATTCGAATGCTCGAACTCTTGTTGCCTGTACATTTGCCACCGAATTTGCACAATCAAGGATTCAAGTTTGTTCGTTTTTGTTCTCTAATTCTACATTGCATGACATACATCACATTCTAACTTTAGATTATGGCTGCCGGAATTTTTTGGTATTTGGGAGAGTATATACAATGATACAGTGTGGGAACTGGTGAGGTTATTTATTTTTATGTTTATCCACTAGTGTTGTTTTATATAGCGTCTGACAATACTTTTTTCCTGTGTCGCTTGGTACAATATTGGATACGTCAATTGGGAATCCTGGATGCCACAGGTGACAAATTTGTTGATTCTATTTTTTTAAAAACTTTTTTAACATTTTTTCATATTAGATTTTCACACGAATACTCAGAGGGTTTTCTCTTCCGATCGGCAAATTACAAGTGTCACCACATAAATACAGCTATTTGATGTATTCGATTAGCAGATGGATCGTTGCTATGGTGGGCAATCGAAGTTCATGCCTTCAATATTTGCGAGATCTATTCATTGCTATCAAAAGTTTCTATCATCCATCGAATACGGGAGATTTTCAAGAGAATCTTGTCAGTTTTGTCTTAAACCTTTCTTATTGCTTTGTCGAACGAGTTTATCTGTGAGTACACACACCGCACATATGATATCCATATGAACTGTATAAAATTTTATAGAGAACGAAAACCTTGTCCTGTTTGGCATTTCATACCACACGATTCATATCGACTGACTGAACAGGATATCACTGATTTTATCAATTGTGTCAAAGAATATGCGTTTATTTCCATTTTCAATAAAGATCATGCCAAGAACGCAACTGAAGCCTGTCAATATCTGTCTATGCTTCGGCCAGAATTGATCGTACCACCGATTGTTGAGAAGTATGAAATATATGTTGCTTTTTTCTTTCTCGATAACTTAATCTTTTATTCATTCTTAGACTTTTTGCATCAATTGATAATACGAATGAACCACATCGATTCACATCAATCATGACTTGTCTAACACGTATAACTCGTCAATTAGTACGACAAACATCTTGTTATTCTCAAGGACAAACCTATGTGTTACCATTAATTATGTCCGTATTACCTGGTATTGATTTGAATGATTTCAAAAAGACATTAGTTACATTGGAATTTCTCGATACAATTTTTATGCTTATTACATGTGTTGATTGTTCATCAGCAATACATATTCGAAATGATCTAACCGAGGTGAGAATTTATTTTAGCGTCAAGAAAAAGTTGACATTTTAACTTTTATTTTGATAGATTGAAAAGGAGGTTTGTTTATCAACAGCAAAATTTAGCAATTTTATCAATGAGTTTCTTGATCGTATTTTTCGAATGATTAAAATTTTATCAACCGACACGTCTGATGCAACTATAACAAACGATGAGGCGAACATGGAAGATAGCACTCTTGAATCAAAACTCACATCGATCATGACCAACATTGTTCAACAATGCAGTAGTAAAATCTTCCGAGTATGTGTGCGCATACACCATTTTGTGTTCGTAATGTAAAAAGTCAACGAAAAATGAATCAAAACTCAGTTATTCTCCTGAATAATTGACCTTCTCTCTTCAACTATAATTTGATTACTATGATTTTTGTATGTTTTCACTTTTTCTGTGTGAATTACTAATATTAGCCAAGGTTCAGAAAATGATCTATTAGGACTTCTAGAATCTAAAAATTTCTTTGTCCAACGTAAAATTATGTAAACCAAAGAATGTTCTTTCATGTGACCCTACAAATTTTACCAAGAACTTACGTCAGAAGAATACGAAACGCCGCTTCTCACCCTGATACTGAACAATAAAATGTCTCTGTTTTTATCAGAATATGCATTTTTTTTCTTTTCAACACAATCATAAACAACTGAGCAAACAAGCAACACAGTGTTTGTGCCTTTTTTCATTTGGCAAAACAAATCTTTTAAGAGAATATGAATAAATATTTGAATGACAATAAATGAGAGGGAAGACTCCGATTGAATTTAAGGTTCATTATTACTGTCGACTCTAAAAAGGCTGAGCAGCAAGTCAAAAAAACTGCTTTTTTGACCAAACAAATCTTCATTTTATGCAATTCAAATATAAGTATTAGATAAGACCGTATTCTAGAAATTCGATATGAAAAATTGTCCAAAACAGTGATCTTGATAGGATTTGTTAACGTACGAAAACTAAAGATTTTCAAAATATAGGCGATTTAACATTGATCTTATGTACATTATATAGTTTAAAATATAATTTTATTCAAATATTAGAATTCTATCAACCAAAAAAGTATATGGACTCAAAAGTTTCTTATTATTAGGAATCTTTCCTCGTCAGTTATGATTTCGAACTGACCAAGCGGAAATCTATACATCATCAACATTTTTTATGTTTTTTGAATATTTAGATGATTCGAGAGAAGATAACAGATTTTCTTACTCATGCATGTTGGCCTTCTAAAGTGAGAAAACTTGTTACTAGTCTTGTTCGAGCTATTGTCATGGGCGACTCGGTCGAAACACTCAAGTATCTCTTACCAAAAACATATGAATCTATCAACAAGATCATAAATGACTCAGAAGGAAATGTTTTATTAAACGATCACAAAGGTGACAAAGAACTTACTTGGTATTTAGTTCTCTTCTCGGAACTCGTTCGTGCTCGTGGTGATACTCTAATGATTTACAAAGAAACAATTATCTCGGTGTTTCATCGATGTATACAAATTATTCACAAAGGTTCATATAAAGCTATTGCTAGTGCAGCTAAGCATATTCTCAAATCGCTCACTCATGTATATATAATTGATACTCGATTGGCGATTGAGAATATCGATGAATCATTTATCGACTTTTTGCCAATTCGAGTGAGTTTTTCTTGTTGATATGTCATATTGATTATTTATATGATTATTCAGGCATGGGGCCAACCTACCAATGTCGACCAAGTCCAAGTTCAATATCATATACCTAATGACGACGAACTTGATTTCGTTCGTGAATTTGTTGAGACATTCATGTATGTTGAATTGGATTTATTGAAAGAGAAAAGCTCGAAACTATCAAATGATGAGCGATTGAGATCATTGACAATTGTTCACCAGATTGCCATCGGATGTTTCCGCATAGTACCACGTATCGGTAGTTCATATGTACAAAATTTGTGAGTAAATCTAAAACATGAAAAACATTTGAAAAAAACAATATTGTACTATTTTTTATTGTGTCAGAGTGCCAACAGTTGTTCCCTACAGTGCACAATCTCAAGCTCAATATTCGATATATTCCAAACAGCCTAGTAAGAAAAATTGTTTCGAAAGAAGTAATACTTATCTGATTGATTATTAATTTCAGAATTTCGAGAAAACTTGCGATTGCGTCTTCTCATCGACATTGGAAAATTACTCGGTGAGTCTTTTATTGATGAATCATTTTAAATCTATATTATTAATTTCGTAGACATGCTTGTAGACAATCGTTCAGACGATGTTTCATCCATCAAAATGGCACATAAGGTAAGCATTAGTACCATGTCTAATGTTACTCTCTTAGTCAATACACATGCTAAATTGTAGATCTATTCAGCCACATCTATCTGCTATGGCGTATCTAAAGAACGTACTAATGAATTGCGCAAAGAATTTCAATCTAGCAAGCAGTTAATAAAAAATAGACTCTGTAGTGACCGGCAAAACCCTCGATTTCTAACTATGAAGAGAATAGCATTACAAATCGAGGTAATGGAAAAGGGCAAAAGTGGATACAGATAAGATTGATCAATTTGTTTTTTAGCTATTCGAAATGATTGAGTATGGAACGTTGACTGAAATCGACAAACAAGTCGCACTAAAATTGTTCGAACTATCAATAAATCGATACAGTGAAGTGAGTCAGAACATTTGTTCTGAAAGAATATTCAAATTTCTTTGCAAAATCTTAGATACGTCGCCATGCACAAGTCGAATTGTTCTCCGTTCTTAGTCGTTATCGTTTTTCATCACAAATGATTGTCGATCGTATTATAGAACTGCTCAATATATCAAGTGAAGTCGATCATGATCAAATCAAAGTTGGTCATCATCGCTTTTCTTCTCCTAGAAATCTTTTTTTTTCTAATCCATACTTATTTAGGGTTGTCTTTATATTCTTCTCGGCAATAATGCTTGCTTCTTGCCCACGGAAGACTCGTGGACAACAATAGAAAAGTTATGGCCAACCATGGTGCGCATGAATCATGCAAACAAACTTAGTACACAAAATTTGATCAGTGATATCAAGAAAAAAATCAACAGAATTTTTGTTACAAAAGAAATTACTCAAAATACTAACGAGACAGCAATACGTTCGGCAGTCGTTCTATGGCGTCCGTTAGAGTTGAACAAAATGGAAACATATGAAGTACGTAATCAAGCCAATATTCAATCGTACAATAAACTTATGGAAACTCTGAGTTCGCTACTGAAAGGCAATATCTTGTGAGTCTTCAGTTTTCATATCTGAAAATTATTTTCATTCTTTTTTTTCTATGATGAACATATAGGTCATGGAGACAGCAAGAGATGGCAATGTCTTTCCTTTGTCTTCTTCTTCAAAAACATGTACCAATTCCATCATCTTGTATTCATACATTTGTTGATCTTCTTGTCCATGATAATATTGAATTGAGAAAGGTTCGTTGATAAATGCGTACAGAAAAATGAGAAATCTTTTGATGAATTCTATTTAGTATGCTGTAAAGAGCATAGCAGCAATTTGTCGTTTGCAAAAGCCACCTAGAATCTATGCTGAAAAATCTATTGACGAAGTTCTTCATGAACACAATAACGGGTCGTCAACAGTTATCATACGTGATGAATGTAATCCGGGCGATCGAGATGATAATTTATGGATAACAATTGATGGTTATAAACCACCCAATACTCAAGCTGAATGGGAACAAATGTGCTTTTTGGATAAAACGTTTCATGGTTATTACACATGGCCTAAAATGATTAAATATCCAATGAATAAACGAGCACGTTACACACAAAATGATATGCCAGAACAAGTGACCATCATTTATAATCGTTTTATTGACAAAAACTTTGTTATACAATCAACAAACTTAATGGTTTCAGATGAAAATACCGACGAGATCAATTTCAATTATGTCCGATATACTATGTTCAAGGTAATATATAAAAGTAACACAGATATAATGTTTGAAAGAATGGTTTGATGTGTTCATTCACGTGATAAAAGTGCAGAATTTCAGGTCTGATATAGGAATCGTTTTTCGGCGCTAAAGACTTCTCATTGCTCACCTTTAAAATGTCGGGATTTCAATTAAGGAATATATAATTTCGTTTAATTTAAATTATTTCCTCTTGCATGAAATAGATTACTGATTTGGTGTTTCTAGAGTCTCTTTCGCAATTTTGGTCATGCATTTGTTGATAACTTCATGGAACAATTGTACGTACTCATTCATGAAAAGATACAAGAAAAACAAGAGGATAGTCATCGAGTGGCAGCCGAAATTGTAGCCGGCATGATCCGTGGTTCGAAATATTGGACATTAGAAATGGTAAGTAGAAATGTTTCAATTTTGACTACATATTAACTTCATTTGATCATGAATATGAAAAAAGTCTACGGTTAGAAACAATAGTTGAGTTTTGAATTAAATCTTGAATATTTACTTTAGATTGATGAACTCTGGAAGAGGCTTACGCCGTTTCTGACCGAAGTCTGTCTTAATCTCAGCTCTGAAACGCTCCATCACTGGAATATGTGTTTCAAGTGTGTCATGGTTAGTTATTCACTATCTTTGACATTGTTGATTTTCTCTTTCAATTTCTTATTAATTTATCTATATTAAAGGAACATGGAGATCCTCGTCGAATGTATCAACTTATTGACTTTATTCGTACATTGATCAATAATCAAATCAATTCGAATACTTTCACTGAAACATCTCGTTGGTCTCTCATTCAAACTTTGAAAATGTTTCAATGGCGTATTCCGTCAATTTGGTGTACTATACATGAACATGCCAAAGAACTACTTGATTATTCGTTCAAACCTGTCCGTGAACATATTGCCAAGTAAGAGATATTTTAATTTCTTATATTTGTATTGAATCAAAACGAACGTTCCTTCTTTTATTTTGAAAAAAAACAGTGTGCTGTCGATATCGTTCAGCTTTGATGTGAGATTATTCAACGGAGAATCAATACGTCATCCTAATATCAATCAATGCATGGATGCTATATGTGAAAGATTGCATCAAGCTATCGAAATTTATGAAAAGACACCCCTCGGTAGGACACGACTGTACTCTTCAATCTTTTTTCTTCATCTTTGAAAGGTTATTCTCTGTTTGAATCGTACGTTCAGTCAGTATCTATGGTCAATTCGTTGAACTTGATGTTGAAGCTTGTAAAGCATTAAATTTAATTGAGACAGGTAAGGATGTCATTTTAATTGCTAAAAAATATAATATGAAATGCTTTCATTTTTATGTAATGCAATCTAGTTATTCTAATGCATACGAATTTATTTACTTTTTGTCGACAACCAATCAAAAATGCGATTCTTCGCATGTTTCCCTATGTATGTACTCATGTTTATCTTATAAAACTTAATAAATTGCCCTATGAAATGAAACTATATCGACAATACTTTTTTCAGAGATTGACTTAATTAGGAATACAGTATCATATTGCTTTGCATTCATTTTATATACAGCTAGACGACAGGCTCGAGGTCGTCACAATTGGCGTGTGATATCGTGAAATTGTTAGAATATTTAAAAAACTCTTACTCTAGTTGTAGTTTATGGGAATTTAAATTGTCACACATAATTTTCGTCCTATTGAATTTCTTCATCGTTTATTTAGCTCTGTGAAATTGAAAGTATTGCGGCCAATGATCCTGTATTTAAAAATAATTTAGCAAACAGTCGAATGTATGTAGCTGTGGCTTATTTACATGGACACTACTTGGAAACATTGATTGAACAATTGGAACAAGTACGTATAAAAATAACATCGAGATGAATGATCAGTAGTTTTACAAAAAAAAAATGAGCATATTCTGATTAAATCAAAATCAAATGACTGATATCTTGATCGATCATAGCATAGGCGGCGGAGCCACGAGGCCTGGGTAGGCACGAGCCTACCCTTGATTGGAGTAGGGTAGGCTTGGGTAGGCTCAAGTATAGGCTTGGGTAGGCTCAGATAAAGGCTTGGGTAGGCTCGAACCAGTACAGATAAAGGCTTGACTAGGTTCGATTTAATGTAAAAATTTTCTAATATTAGATTTTCATGTTCTTCTGACACATGACGTGTTATTACAAGGTCAGTCCACATTTTATCCATTACAAACTCGCGCCCAGTGGCATACCGATTGGTTTCATTGACGTCTATATCTACGTCAAATTCTTTATTTTCAATATAAGATAATTAAACTTTTGTTCTAAACTTCTATTCAAAATAACTTTTGAATTTTAAGTAATTAAAGAACGATGCTCTTCCATAGGCGGTGAAGTCATTAGGCCTGGGTAGGCTCAAGTCTACCCTAGGCTGTCGGAGGGTAAGCTTGAGTAGGCTCAAACTTGGACAGATCAAGGCTTTGGTGGGATCTATTAAATATAAGGTTTTTCTATTATTATTTATTTTTCAAGTTTTTCTGGCACATAACACATTGTTACAGAGTCAGTGTCAGTCATAGACGGCAGAGCCATTAGGCTTGAGTCGGCGAAAGCTCATCAAGATTCAAGTTTCATGGGCTAAAAGAGGCTCAAACATTTGCTTCTCACTCTACCAGATTAACAGATTGCCTACTGTTTGAAAATTTTTGCTGTCGTTACCAGTAACTGCTAACTTTTTTAGGAAAAAAAACTAACGAGAGAACCTCCCCAGATGTAACCCTCAGATTTCAATGATTTTTTGTCCACAGGTACTACATAGTGCCCTACTAAAAACCCTAAAAGGATTTGGGTTCAGGACCCTTTCTTCAATATTTATGTATATTTGAATTTCGCTTCTATATGGGTCATAATATACAATGTTAAAAAATCAGCAATTTTATGAGAATACGATAGAAAAACGAATTTGTTTTTTTGAGAGCATTCTTAGATATTTGTTGTACTCATGAGAAATGTAAATCTTTTAGTTCTTCATATTATCGAGCTATAGAATTTCTGATTCGAGAAAAGAAAATCACATATTGATAGAGAGTGATAGTACACAATGTGTTTGGTGAATTCAATACATAAAGCAATTAATGTTGGCGGGATAGTTAGACTTTCAATCTGAGGATCTGCATTAGAGCAGTGAACAGTATTCCTCTGTTATGCGAAGGTCTATCATTCAATGATGATGTTTCTTTGTATTTGTTTTTTTTTACTACTAATTTAAGGTTTTTTTTGTTAACTTTGTCTCTAGTTTATTGAAATTTTTTATAAAAACAAAAAAGTAAAGAAAATGTTGAAATGTATAAATTTTCAAAAGACAACAAAATCAGATAGAATACTAAATAAAATTTTCTGACATCAATGAATATGATAGTCAATAAAAAAGAGTATGAAGTGCAATTTTTTACTAATTTAAGCACGTGTAATCAGTATTAACGGAAAAGAAGTTTCTTTTTAATAGGGCAATGCGCTGTTGATTTTCTTCAAGCAAACCAAATTCTATAGCTCGATAATATGAAGACCTAAAAGATTTACATTTCTCATGAGTACAACAAATATCTAAGAATGCTCTCAAAAAAACAAATTCATTTTTCTATCGTATTCTCATAAAATTGCTGATTTTGTGAAACACGATCTGAAAGGAGTGTTGAAGTGTTTAGGGTAGAAATTTTGCACCCCCCCCCCCCCCCCCCCCCCGCCCGTGACAGAGAAAATCCATACCCATCACAGACCGTGACAGAGAACCCCGGGTACCCATCACAGACCGTGACAGAGAACTCAGGTACCCATCACAGACCGTGACAGAGAACCCCGGGTATCCATCACAGACCGTGACAGAGAACCCCTGGTGCCCATCACAGACCGTGACAGAGAACCCGGGTACCCATCACAGACCGTGACAGAGAACCCCGGGTATCTATCACAGACCGTGACAGAGAACCCCGGGTACCCATCACAGACCGTGACAGAGAACCCCGGGTACCCATCACAGACCGTGACAGAGAACCCCGGGTATCCATCACAGACCGTGACAGAGAACCCCGGGTACCCATCACAGACCGTGACAGAGAACCCAGGTACCCATCACAGACCGTGACAGAGAACCCCGGGTATCCATCACAGACCGTGACAGAGAACCCCGGGTACCCATCACAGACCGTGACAGAGAATCCGGGTGCCCATCACAGACCGTGACAGAGAACCCCGGGTATCCATCACAGACCGTGACAGAGAACCCCGGGTACCCATCACAGACCGTGACAGAGAATCCGGGTGCCCATCACAGACCGTGACAGAGAACCCCGGGTATCCATCACAGACCGTGACAGAGAAACTGTAGTTGTAAAGCATCAGATACACGGTCAGCTTCAAATGTGTCATATGGAAATGGAACAAAAGGATTTCCATTTAATTAGTAACAATAGGTCCATCGTGTTTCACATTTTTAATCCCGCAAGGGATTGCGCTAACAGCTTTTTTAACATTGTATATTATGACCCATATAGAAGCGAAATTCAAATATCCATAAATTTTAAAGAAAGTGTCCTGAACCCAAATCCTTTTAGGGGCTTTAGTAGGGCACTATGTAGTACCTGTGGACAAAAATTCGTTGAAATCTGAGGGTTACATCTGGAGAGGTTTCCTCGTAAGTTTCGTATGACTAAGTATTGCAACGAACATTGACAATGAGTTCATGTTATGCTCGTTTGTTACAAATGAAGAATAACCCTACAGGATACAGTCATATCTGCTGTACTATGTCCAAAATTCTCTCCCCTCTCTGCGATTAATCTCAGATGCCAATCAAATATTTTCAACAAACTGAACAAACTCACAATGAGATTCCTTTTTCGTGAGCACTGCTGTGTCGCCATAATTCTAGTTTCCAGTAATACAAATCAAAAACTTTTTCCAAGATGCAGCTCATCAAATAGATTCAGAATCTAATCGACTCCGAGCCTGAGTCTAAAATCTTTCTGTTGACCACAGTCAGATCTGGATCCAGGTACAAGTCCTCGTATTCAGACCTGACGGGTTCTACCTGCACGTAAGAGCCAGTTATAACAGGCTTATTACGAGATTACCGTTAAAATTGTTTGAAAAATGTGTAGCATGTGTTGGTCACCGAAAAATTAATCGAAAAAAATGTAGTATCTTTCAAATAATTGTCAGATCAGGAGTAAAACAATTGCATTGAGAGTGCGAGGATTGCGAACCCGGCTTCGGATCCAAGAATTTTGCATCCGATGGACTATATCTGAAGGTCACTATTCAATCAAAAAACAAGTTTAAGTGACTCTTTGAATACAAGTTTTTTGCCACAAGTTGTAAACTCATCCCTGATCTGCACTAATGTTATGCATTAAAAAAATTGAGTTCAAAATAAACAGTATTAATTGTGTTTTATTTGAATGTCATAGCATAAAAATTACCTCCTCTATTTTTAACCTGTCGGTAAGGCTCCTATAAAAAATATTGAGCCTACCCTAGATTCAAACCGTTCCGCCGCCCCTGGATCATAGAGTTCTAAATGTATTTTATTCCCGAAGAGTCAGTCGATTACGCCAAGTGTGTTTTTGTTTTCTCTTGACATACAGGTGTGTACAAGTACCAAGTGGCATGCACGTCAAGCAGCCATTGAATTTGTTCAAAGCATGATCTTTTGCAATCTATTCAATGCTCGTCCTTATGCTAAACGACTACATGAACTTGTACTCAAATGTCTATTTGATGAACGGTTAGAAGTGCAAACAGTTGCATCGATGACATTGTCAGGCTTGTACCAGTGTGGCTACATTCAAATGATCGATCATGATCTGGTACGATGATTTTTGGTTTTTTTTTTCGATTACTATAAAGTTAATTTTATTTGAATATTTTCAAAGAAATATTTTCGTGTCATGGCGAA